AAACGGCTAGATTTTAAATATGGCCGTTGGAGAATTTTAAAAACAATTTTTTTTAAAAAAAAAATAAATAAAAGCCGTTGGGCCCGTTAGGCCCGCCAGGACCGGCCCAAGCCCGGCTGATGGTCCCGGGCTAAACGGTCCCGGGCTCGTGGGCTAATGTATGAAGACCGGCCCGTCATGGGCTTCTCAGGACCACCAGGACCGGCCCACCAGGTCCGTTGGGACCGTGGGCCCGGTCCGGTCCGATTCAGGCCCGGCCCACCAAGCAGCATTACTTGGAATTGATGTCCTCCATTTCTGTGAAATCACTGTTGTTTTGGTTTAAATTTAGTTTTTATTTTATTTTCTGACATCTTATAGGCCTCAACAACTTGCTGATGGCTTATGAGGATAAAACAGCATATGCCACGTGTGTCTTTTCTCTCGCTCTTGGGCCAAATACAGAACCATTGACTTTTGTTGGAAAAACTATGGTAAGCGTTTGCTTCTGTAGTCCTTGAATATTTCCTTTAGACTTCGTATTTCCATTATTTCCATTAATCTTTCTGCTGATGAGTCTTATGTTTCAAACTAGAATGATCCTCGGTGGGTATTGCGTGAATATTTTGCTAAAGTAATATCAAGACTGCTGGTTAATATTTTTTTCAAAATTAAGTACCAGAATGCTGGTTGTTTGTGTACTTATATGAAAAGAAAATGGAAAAGTAGTTCCTATTTGGCTTCTTACGATGGTACTTATTTATTACCTGTGTCTACTATTTAGGCAGAATACCCTCGCCCATTCTTACTAAGAACTGAAAGAAGACTCAGAAACAGAAGAAAGGGTGGAAAGTTCGTTTAACATACTTGTAAAGATAATCAGTGTGGATACTATCCTAAAATGAAGAACTTGCGAAACTTGATAGATTTTCTTTTAATATTTCTTTATTGAACTATGCAAACAATAGCACTAACATTGCGAACATGGCTCTTCAGGGCAGGATAGTTCCAGCGAGGGGACCCAATGATTTCGGATGGGATCCAATATTTCAACCTCATGGCTATGACCAGACGTAAATCTCCTGTCCTCTTAATATTTGCCTATCGAACCTCTTGACATGAAGAGTACTAACTGATAGAACTGTTCTTGCAGTTATGCTGAGATGCCCAAGGAAGAAAAGAATAAGATTTCTCACCGGGGTAAGGCTCTTGAACTAGTGAAGTCACATTTCTCTGAGGCTCGATACACTTTCCAAACGGACACCACTGCCTAAGATTAGAGTGTATGCTCTGTAGTGACATAATTTTTATGTGTTTGCTCAAGAACTATAATTGATGACAATGTAAGCTTCTTTTATTCCCCAGATAAAATAGGGTGGAGGAGGAGTTATATGAAATATGAGAACTTGCTTTGTTGTTAATAGAGTATATGATCTATTTTAGAATGTTAGATCATAGATGAGACAGAAAATATTCTATTGTGAATGTACTTGATGTATTTTTAGATTAGGAGCTTATTCTCCTAAAGATTCCAATGTCACTCATCTTACTTTTGTAGCATACCATAACCTGATAAGCTGAAGCTCCACCAACAGCACTGATTGTTTGCTTATTTTGCATATTCTAGCTGCAAATAGTTTTTGGAAAAAGAAAAAAAATAGCATGGTGCACAACGCATTCCGCTTATCCAAGGGGGTGTGATGTAAGCAGTCTATTCTGATGCAAGCATCAGTGGCTAATTTCACGGCTTGAACCCGTGAACTAGGGGTGTTCATAAAAATCCGAAAATCCGAACCAAACCGAAAAACAAACCAAACCGACCAAAAAACCCGACACTTTTTGGTTTGGTTTAGTTTTGGTTTTCAAATTTAAAAACCGATTAAATTTGGTTTGGTTTTGGTTTTAGTAAAAAAAAAATCGAACCAAACCGAATATAGGAGTAACTATTTTAAATTTATTATTACACCTATATATATGTATACTTTTATACAAAATTTCAAAAATTTTATAGTAAATGTTAATCGTTTGCACTTTTAGTACATGTAAAGCCTTTACATTCTAGTTTGATTGGTAATTTTCTTTTGTTAAGTGTAAGAATCTATTTCATGTTAGAAATAATATATTTTTAATTGAGTCCTTAAATTATTCATCACTATTTGATTCAATTATCATCAATATATCTTGGTAAATAATAGATTTCTCAAAGGGCAATTGATTTGATAGTGTTACGTTGAAAATGTGGTCGCCGAAATATGTGTTTGGTAGTGTATGTCTTATATTAAAGAAAAAACCGATAAATAACCGAAAAAATTGAAAAACCGACATAAGCCGAATCAAGAAAAAATCGACTTAATTGGTTTGGTTTGGTTCTAATATTTGAAAACCCGACTTACTTGGTTTGGTTTCTTTTTAGGGAAAAATTGATCCAAACCGAACCATGAACACCCCTACCGTGAACTATAGGTCACGCGGAGACAACTTTACACACAAACTCATTAATAAAAGGAGAGGCAAGTCCAATGTACTTAAGGAGCCTTTACTTTTCTTTTTCCAACCTAATGGAAATCACTTTGCAGCCTGGTATTGTACCATCAAAGTCCAAGTAGATAAATTGGGCCTCAAGGGAAAGGGAAATTTTCTTTATATAAATGAGAAATTCGCGCGGATCGAGGATATGCTATTCGAAACTCTACTCTTTCCTACTTAAATACCAAACATTTGATCGCATCAGGATTCGAAGCGGTGATGTGCGTCTAACTTATACATCACTCAACTCTTACCAATAGACCAAAGCTCAGGGACATGGCAATGGGAGATAGTTAAGTAACATAACGTCCTTTTTATTTTTAAATTTTTTTGTTAAAGAGAAGGACCATTGTACGGGGAAAGGCAGTTGACATTTAGGATATCCTCCGTGTTTTTCCTTCTTTTCCCATTTTTGATCCTAGATAAACTTATTTTTTTTCATAGAATAGAAAGATTAGTGTTAATTAAGCAACTAAAAGCAAAATATGGGTAAACAATTGGTAAATGTAGTACAGAAGTTGGAAAGCATCAAAGTTTAAACGAGGAAAAGGATAATTTCTGTTATCGACTATAATGATTTATTATAATTTTCTCTTGCTGGTATCGACTAACCAGCATAATCATTGTGGTTAACTAAATCAAGTAACCACATTCGATCTTGTCTCATTTCTATACATATATCAAATATACTTTTACTAAAACAAAGGATCATGTTGTGCCAGTAAAAATCAAAACCATCTAACGTTTAATCCATCTTTGTCCAGCTAAAGGTTCTTCTGTTGTACTAATGAGAATAATCATTATCGATCTAATCAGAAATTTCTGATCTAATTAGCAATTTATAAAGATGAAAAAAGTTTCATATGGATTCATGAAACAATTACGGCTTTAATTTGGGGAGATTGGGCTGGCACTAAACATCCCCTAATCCCACTACCCCTAAAGTTCTTTCAAATTTTTTTTATTTTTATCTTGACCTTCCTATATGGAGCGTCTTACTCCCTTAGTAGGTATACTCAATGTAAATCTAAATTACTCAGGCCAGTGAGTTCTTTTTTTTTTTTTTT